CGAAGATGATCATCATGATGATGATCTTTCGGATGATGATGATGATGATGATGATGATGAAGCTGATGATGATGATGAGGACGATGTTGACGATGACGATGTCGATGATGTTGAAGACGATGATGTTGAAATTTCGGACGATGATTTGGATGATGATGATGAAGTAGATGATGATGATGGTGATAATGATGGTGTTGATGATGATGATTCGGATGATGATGATGATGATGATGAGGATTCGGATGATGATAACGGTGATGATGATGATAATGTTGATCATGAGGATGATCGTGATGATGAGGATGATGATGATGATGAAGGTGGTGATGACGACGATGATGATGATGATGACCAAGATGAGGATGACGATGATGGTTGTGATGATGATGATTCGGATGATGATGATGATGACTCGGATTATGATGGTAATAATGATGTTGATGATGATGATGATGATGAAGATGTTGACGATTCGGCTGATGATGATGATGCGGACGATGGTGATGATTAGGATGATGACTCGGATGATGAACATGATGACGATGATGATGATAATGATGATGATGATACGGATGAAGATGATGATGATGATGATTATGTTGGTGACGATGATGATGTTGATAATGATGACGATGATGATGATGATGATGATGATTCAGATGACGATGATGCTGACTCGGATTATGAAGGTAATAATGAGGTTGATGATGATAATGATAATGATGATGTTGATGATGACGTAGACGTTGACGATGATGATGGTGATGATGATGATGACCATGACGGTGATGATGATGATTCGGATGGTAATGATGATGGTGAGAAGAAGGATGTTGATGACGATGATGACGATGACGATGACGATGTTTCGGATGATGACGATGCTGATGAAGTTGAACTTGACGATGGTGGTGAGGAGGAGGCTGTTGATGACGATGATGATGATGAAGATAATGACGATTCGGCTGATGAAGATGATGCTGATGATGTTGGTGATTATGGTGATGACTCGCATGAAAAAGAAGATCATGATCATGATGCCAATGATGATGATGATGATGATGAGGAGGAGGAACCGGAAGATCATAATGATGATCAGGACGATGACGGTGATGATGATGATTCGGATGGCAATGATGCTGGTGAGAAGTAGGATGTTGATGACGATGATGATGATGACGATGATGATGATTCGGATGATGATGACGGTGATGATGAAGATGATGTTGATCATGATGTTGATGATGATGATGATGACGATGATGATCATGATGATGATGATGATGATTCGGATGATGATGGTAATAATGATGTTGATGATGATGATTATGATGATGTTGATGATTTGGATGATGATTTGGATGATGAAGATGATGATGATGAGGATGAGGATGATGATGATGATGATGATGATGATGATGATGATGATGATGATGATGTCGATGTGGATGATGATGAAGGTGAAGATCACGGTTAGGTTTTTGATGATAATGATAATGATGTTAATGATGATAATGATGATAAGGTTCATGGTGACTCGGATGAAAATGATGATGATGTTGATGATGATTCGCATTAGGATGATGATGGTGATTCGGATGATAATGATGAATATGAAGATGATGATTTTTTTTGAACATTATGATGATGAACATAATGATGTTCGTGATAACGAGGACGACGATGATGGTGATGATTTTGATTTTGTCGTTTCGAATGATGATGATGCTGATGAAGTTGAAGGTGATGATGATGACTCGGATGATGACGATGATTTTGATGATACGGCAAGGAGGAAGAAGAGGATGAATATGTTGATGAAACTGATGATGATGATGATCATAAAAATGATCACGATGACCACGACGTTGATGATGAGGATGATGATGATGATAATAATGATGATGATGATGATGATGATGATGAGGATGTTGGCGACTCGGCTGATGATAATTATGGTGATGATGTGTATGGTGATGATGATGACTCGGATGATGAAGAAGATGATGATGATGATGATAATGATAATGATGTCACGGATGAAGATGCTGATGATGATGATTATGTTGATGATGAAGATGACGACGTTGATGATGACGATGATGCTGAGGCTGATGATGATGGTCATAATGATGATCTTGATGAGGACCACAATGATGATGATGATAAGGATAATGATGATAATGTTGTTGTGGATGATGATGATGATGATGATGATGATGATGATGATGAAGTTGTTGATGATGTTATTGATTCGGATGACGTTGTTGAGGATGATGATGATGATGACGATGATGATGAAGAGGATTCGGATGATGATGATGATGATAATAATTATGATGTTATGTGATTAGACAAGCAGAACCGATGGTCGTGGCAGGATGAGGCTGGATCGAGTAATGCGTGTTCAAACAA